GTTGCAGAGTTTCAAAATCTCTGCTCAGGCTTTATTTTTTTCAAAGAAAACCCAGCAAACATTATGGCTTGATAATAAAATATTTATCACACAGAGATTAAAAATCACCGAAGTTTACCAGAAATGACGTTTGATAGTTTCCCACGTAGAAAATAAGGAATTACAGGAGGCCTGCAACGCGGCAACCGAGATAAATTACTGACGATTTCAATCAGCCATCAAAATTATTGTCTCAACTTTACCTCCCGACGAGTTCCTTTGTATCTAAACTCTTCCTCGCTACTTTCCGCCGTGTCAACGGCCGATTAAGCGGCTGATATTTATTTTTGGCCGATTAAATCCCATTGGCGTCATCGTGGCGAGCTGATATTCAACGTGACAAGCTGAGGATTCGGAGATCGGGCCGAGGGGCATGACCGCAGCGTAATTCATCTCCCTCTCCTTTTACCTCGTCTTGAAACTCCGAGAAAAGATCATAGAGATATCAACGATTTGACTGCTTTGAGGGTTATTGTCGACTGGTAGTGTTTAAATCAAAACGAACTATCTCCATTGTGACCTGCGGACTTCTCATTGAAATTGATGGACAAAGATATAAGGTGTATCAATATCTATAGATTCCCATTCATTCTTATGGCCATCGACTAACGAGCACACCCCTTCTTTCCCACCTGTCTCTGATTTCGTTAGGCAGAAATGCGCCCAACTTACCTTAAGTTAAGGAACACTATAACTGTAAAGTTTAACTCAAAAGGAAATTTGTTTTTCTTCCTTTGAGTTGCGTTTTTCTAAAACCATGAGCCCCTCCTATTCTCCGACTCCATGACAGTGGTCAGATACAGTGTTCGAAACGTGCCTTTCAGTTTCAGGAGCCATATGGCGCATCGAGCTCGATTTTTAGGGGCCAGATGGACTTTTTGCCCATATATCATGGCAAATTCAGTAAAAAGTTACATTCAAGATGTTTTAGATACAGAACTAGTGACTGTATAACTTAGGGGAAATCTCGAAAAATCACCTAACAGAAAAATTAGGTATTTTTTTTTTATTTTTTTTTTTTTTTGGGGGGGGGCAATATTTAGGGGCCACGTTGGCGCAGAGTCTTCATTTTTTAGGCGCCGTGACCGATTTCTTAGGCGCATTTGGCGCGTTGGTGCCTGTGAGTTTCGAACACGGGTCAGATACGTATCTCGAAGATCAAGCGTTTGTCGAACGGCCTCGATGGTCAAATTACATTCTGAGATGGAACTTGGTCTATGAGAATCATTCGACAAAGTTTCAATAGTAATAATCCCGTCGTTCGGCTCAGCATCCCCTCGGAATCGAGATGAAAATTAATTAAAACAGGTCCCTTCTCCTGTTTCCGCGCATTTCCATATTTCAATTCTCGGTCGGACCAGACGTCTCGTTTATTTCAAGTGCCGGTGGGAGAGGAGGGGCGCTGATTTGTTTGAGCGGAATATTTTATTCAGAAATATTCAAATAGAATCGAGACATTTTTTGTAAAAACGACGTATGCGCTTCACAAGGCGACTCAGGTCATGCAATGTTGTATTTGATTCACACAATCCCAAAAATCTACCATATTCGATTTTACTCATTGTCTACACAAATCATAAGCACGTGTGCCCTCCTGTAAAAAGTAGAAAATAGTAGATGGACTGTTGAAAACTGTGTAGATTTTGGTAAGTACACATACTTTATTCTCGGTTTGTGATCGATTGGTCACAATTCAATGAAAACAATTAAATACAGAACTGAACAATACTGAATAAAAATCAACTGAAAAAATAGAAAAGAATTAACAACATTCTATTTGTAGGAGTCCGATCCGCAAAGCCTATTTATACGTTTAAAGTCGGTGAATAACTGATTAGCATTGGATTGCCCTCTTTAGACCATGTTGACACTTCAAAGCCTCAATCAGTCAAAAATCCACGTTGAAAACCTACATTTTCTTAATTTCTTGACTCAAACGTCAATTCCGTTATTCTTGGCTCGGTCAAGACTGTTTCTTTCAATCAATTCAATATGACGTTAAGAAATATATGCAAAAAAGGACCTAACGTCCCACTTTGCAGTCAAATAGCACAGGGAAGACAAATCAAAAAAGGAACCCATCGAATTCTGTATTTTCTCAGTGCAGGTTTCTTTTTTAAAGAAAATAGGTAAAAAAAATCGGTAAAATGAAACCTTAAATAATCGAAAATTCACAACAGGAGGCTGAACTCCCGATTTGATTTAAAAGTTTTTTCCTGCCGTCAAATAAGAATATGTGCAGGATTTAAACATAGGAAAATGAAATTCTTCTCAGAACTAATCTACTGTAGACTGGTTACTTTCCATCGAGTTCCGCCCAATCCATGTTAGGCACACGTACCCTGGAAATATATAACTTGTCTTCCCTAACAAAAAAGTGAGCATGTGCCATTGCATTCCTCCATTTTGATACTCCATGCGAGCTTCGCCGAAATCGTGAATGTTTTCCGGAACACGTGCTTACCGCTACATTTATGGCGGAAATGGCACTTGAAATGTAGTCGGGAAATGATGCTCTTGGCTGCGCCCTTTGCAAAGGAAAGAGGCGATAAATCCTAGAGCCTTCCTTTACACTTCCTGGCCTCTCATGCCTTTCCGCGCAGCTTACACTAATACTAAACATTGCAGTGGTCTCGAAACTGCAATCAGCTCTTGGTAAAATGAAAATGAAAGACTGAAGCCCTTGAAATAAAGATCTGCAAAATCCTTTGCGATTCCGTTCCCGAGGTATACATATCCGACCAAAATCCAACCCCAAAGTTCCGACCAAAGTTCTAAAGGGTCTAAGGTATCTTCCGACCAAAGTATCACAAGCGCCATGCAGCGTTTCAAAATTTCCGCCGCCACTTTATTTTTTTACAAAGAAATTGTTAGTTGAATCTGTCCGAAAATTGCACTTAATTTTTCTTTGTGCCGCCGATAAAATTTAGAGACATTTTCAAACAGACTCACGCCAACAATTCTCTGAAAAACAAATAAAATGGCGGAAATATTGAAACGTCGCATAGCGACCCAAAGGTGACGATATCATCAAGGGGAAATCCAATAGCTGTGCACTTGGAATTTATCAACCTATGAAAAAAATCCCCATGGTAAAAAGAAGCTATGCTTGGGGGAAGGCAATCAAACGAACATTCTTGTCAATTTTTGTTTCCGAAAACAAACTAAAGGGAATTTTATGGAAACGATACCCGCAATGATTTTGTAGGTTTCGGAGTTAAAGGTTTCGCCTGCTGCATGACAGTATGACTACTTTAAACGAGCGGTATGAAATGTCTAATTATTTTGCAGCGGAATTTAAAGTTTGATGTATACGGCTGAACTCATGAGTAAGTGTTATATTTTGTTTCATTTTTTTTCAAATTTCAACAAAAGATTAATTTAAGAAAGTTTCTCTGATTTAATCAAACCGAAATTACTCGAAATCTACTGCCATTTCGATGGTTTCAAATTGGATTGATCAACAATTTATAGCCGGCTAATATTTTTAAACATGAAAACAATTTTAATAATTGTTTGGTTAGGTTTCAACATAGATCACACTCTTGTTCGTCGAGAAAAATGAATTAAAATCGAGTCGATATCTTTTCGAATGGTAGAGTAGGGCACCAATGTTTCACTACATAATGATCGATTTTCAAATGGTCATGCAAAATATATTTATCAAAAATATACTTCGACAGTATGCTTACTAGCATATGGTTACGTGATTCTCATTGTAATAATAGGATCTATCAGAACTTTCATTCTTGTCGTAAAAAACTGAAAAGATAAGTAGAGATCCTAATCGATTCAAGACTTGTACTCCTAACTCCAAAACATTCATATGCTCCACTATCCCTCCCAGATGTTCTTAACATCAATTGGATTGCATTTTGCAAAAAGGAACCATGAGCATTGCAATGTTGCTAAGATTTTGCAACTTCTTTTGTCTTGGAAAAAAAATTTGATTATCCATTGACAGTTTCTATTTTACTCGCTGAAAACTGTGAATCTAAGACATAAATGACCATGTAAATTTCATATTTTTCCATGATTTCAGTTATTTTACTGCAAAGGATGAATTTGCACAATCTTAGCAGCATCGCAATGCTTTTGGTTCCCTTTTGCAAAATGCAATCCAATTCATTGATAAAGTCCCTATCATTAGTCAGCACCTACCAGCGTCCCACGTTGTTCATGAATTTGTACACTCTAAATATTCTTATAATAAGAACCTGACCCTTAAACGAAGTCGAAACTTCAGTAACTTCAAGACCATTTTCAGTTGCTCCCCGTGAAAAACGTATTTTGATGCCAAAACAGAGAGTGCGGGGAAATTGATAGAAAAATGATTTGTAAATCTTTAAGGGGCCCAAAACTGGAGCAAGATCTGAGCAGTATTTTGGAGACCCCATACCTACTATATACTGGTTCTCCGCAATGAAAGAGTTATCTCCAGTGATCAACACTATTTTTCTAGGTAAGCTCCGCGTTGATACGCTACGCGATCCCTTCAGCAAACAGGCGCTAGTTCGCAAGGGTGTCATTTCAGGTACAATTGGGGGGGGGGGGGG